ACATTTTAAACTCTTTTTGATGACTTGAATTTGCTATTAGACCGCAGCATGACTTATCCTTATTCTGTAGCATTTCACATTTGGAATAATAAGTGCAGTATGGGTAGCACTAGGTTAGATGCTACTAGGAATGGAAAAAGAAAAAGTATTGTAGGCACATACGTTTATATGCATTGCATAGATGTGTGTGTCTGTGACACTTGGCAGTTTTGTTCTTGCTTTTGCTTTATTTTGACTAGAATTTGAATAATTTGAATCCCTTTTCTATCTTTTTTATTTGCTGCATAATAAATTGTAAATTTTTCAAAGCCCAACTTAAACCTCACTTCCTCTGGGTAGCCTTCCCTATCACCACCGTAGGGAAGCTCCACACATTTGTTATAGCCTTTGCCACTGGTAGTTTTTATTTGTCTGCTCTACTGAGACAGCCTAACTATGAATGAGTTCTTCGAAGGGAAGGACTTCACTTCATGCATTTTTGTAGCTCTAGGGTAAGTAGAGGATCTTGCATATCTCTGTTATTCTGGAAATGCTAAATGAGTCCATAATGAATGACATAATTCTTGCAGTGTGATCACTAATCTTTGAGGGTCATGACTTTGAAAATTTTGTAAATTCTCTTTCCAGCGCAATAACAACAATAAAAAACAGACATATGCTGTACATGAAAAATTTGCATGAAATGTTAAGCTCTTCTTGGATCTTCTAAAGTTCTTTCACAGACCTGCCTATGGGACCACAAAACTCAGAGTAAGAACCACTTGCTGAGGAAAATAAATGAATATCCTTGGTATAATAAAATGCTGAACATTTTTATACCGTTTTCTTCACAAGTATTACTGTGCTGGTGGCTGAGGATACTATGGTGACTATCATACACATACTCACAGTTCAGAGACACTAACAAATGAGTCAATAATTATACTACAGCATGATAAGTGTTATCATAGTGGTATACATAGGTCAAAAGCCTTAGAGGAATGATTTTCAGATCCATGTTTCGTTGACAAAAGTTTTTCCAAAAAAAAAATTGGGGCAACTGCCATGGGTGGCCAGGTTTTTATTATTCCAAATCAGAAAATTTAAAAAAATGTTCTACTATCACCCTCATTTCATAATGTATTATAACTCAAAAAGAATACATTTGTAATTTTGGAGTAAAGGACAATCTTTTAAATTGATCACATATAACTTTGTCAAAATAATTTTTTTACTCATTTCATCATGGACCTCTGAAAACTCACACCCTGACCCCAGGCATTAAATATTTGAATGCCTCTATCTTAGAGAGTCATCGAAGGCTTTGCAGGAGAACTGTCCAAACTGAATTTTTAAAGAGATAAATAAGGGGCAAGGATGGGAATCAAACAATATGAAGGCTTGATTCCAGGCAGATAAAATCATAGTTGAAAGACTCAGAGACTACACAAATATGTCAAGCTTGTGCATATTAGGTAGTAATGAGGTGAGTTCAAGTTAGCAGGAAACTCCTTATGGGAAAGATGAAATGGGTAGGCATTGAAAAGTCTTAGGAACTGGACCTGAGCAGAGGAGGTGCATTAGATGCCAGTAGGATCCAGAAGCAGTGACTGCAGCAGGCTGGCATGGAAGGGAGCTATAAGAAGTTTGGGGGCCCTTTGTGAAGACTCACTCACCCTGAAGCCATGTGTAAGAACAAATTAGCCAGCAAGATGCTCCTACTGGGAGGCCCTGGCACCTCAGGAGAAGGTGAGATAGGGTTGGTGGGCAATCAGAAGACCTATGAGTCCCTGTGTTTGAAGAGGCGAAATGACTGGGGAAGACTAGTGGGAAGTGGCATCTGCACAGGTGACAAATAGACGGAGGGAGCATCCAGAGTCAAGGCAAGCATCCAGAAAGCTGTTTAGTTGGTAAGATCTTCTTTCAGCTCGGTGGAAAATAGATGAAAATCGAGAGAGAGTTTAAGCGTGAATGGAAGACACAAGGAAGAAAGTAGAATTGAGGTAGATATAGATATATAAAAATCCACAAAGGTAATATGCCTTCTTTTAAAAATAATTTAAAGTTATTCTCTTCTTTGATATGTATGCCTGATTCTCTCCAATTAACCTATTAGGCTACTCAAACCTTAATAAATATGTATTCACTTGTGAAAAATTTCTTACTACTGTATTAATGCTATTGGATGGTATTTGTTGATAATTTTTTTTTTTTTTTTTTTTTTTGAGTCGGAGTTTCGCTCTTGTCACCCAGGCTGGAGTGCAATGTCGCAATCTCGGCTCACCGCAACCTCCGCCTCCTGGGTTCAGGCAATTCTCCTGCCTCAGCCTCCTGAGTAGCTGGGATTACAGGCACGCGCCACCAGGCCCAGCTAATTTTTTGTATTTTTAGTAGAGACGGGGTTTCACCATTTTGACCAGGATGGTCTCGATCTCTTGACCTCGTGATCCATCCGCCTCGGCCTCCCAAAGTGCTGGGATTACAGGCGTGAGCCACCGTGCCCGGCCCGATAATTTTTTTTTTTTAGATTTCAGGTTTGAAAGAGTTTATAAGTTGATTAATTACCCAGATACTCTAACTTTACTAGATAATTTTGGAACGTATGACATTTTAAAGTATCGTACTTTAAAATGTCATACGCTCCAAAATTATTTTTTTCCAGATGAAGTGCAGGTATATCTGCACAGGAGACTCATCCAACCCAGGACTACTGCTAATGAATAATTCCCTATCAAGGAAAACAAGCCTTTTTTAGAATTATTATACTTTAAGTTCTGGGGTACAGGTGCAGAAAGTGCAGGTTTGTTACATAGGTATACATGTGCCATGATGGTTTGCTGCATCCATCACCCTGTCATCTACCTACATTAGGTGTTTCTCCTGATGCTATCCCTCCCCTATCCCCCACCCCCTGCCTTTAGTGAAAGGATTGCTAACATTTCTGTGTATGTTTACATGTGAGAAGATGTAGAAAAACACCATCCTGGCAGAAAATTCTGCCTGTGCTACAAGTTTCCTTTTTCCAAATTCTAAGCATTTTACCCTAGTAGAATAACTGGTTTCTATTGTGAGAATATTGTGGAATACTGCGTATTATCCACAGCTCATTGTTAGATGCTTTCTACTTATGGCATGTGAATATTTAAAAGCTATCTATGCCTGGAACCACCATTTCCTACCTGCCTTTTCCTCCTCCTAAGATTATCCTTTTAAATCTGTAGCAAGTAATTTTTAGACACATTTCTTATTATAGCATTACCACAGCCAGCACAAACATCTTTTTCCTTTCTTTCGCCATGTGTACACATAATGGAGTTTCTTATTAAATATACATGCAATCCCTTGTTGCATATAAATGTACCTCATCAAAGAGTAAGGAAGACCCTGCAACACTGATATTGATTGTTCATAAAGACAGTAATATCTGAATGGTGTTCTCGGGCTTTCTCTTAAAACAAAAAAAAAAAGCAAACATAAAAACCACTAAGAGTCGTGTAACCTCACCAGCCATCATAAGGTGCTCTAATATGACTCCTTTCTCACATATTTACTAGGCTGCTTCACTTCAGATTTCTGAGACCACGGAAAGTAGGAGCTGATTTTCTACTTCCTGAAGAGAATTTACAAAGTCTTGGGTTGTCTTCATGGAGTAATACTCTCTTCTTTGGGGAAAAAATGCCAGTCTAAAGAAAGCCACACTGCTATTCTGGAGAGGTGAGGAGGATGGTTAAGATTAGCCAGTAGTGAAATGCTTCCTGTTGGTTCCAGTGCCTCTCAGAGAAAACACCAATCAGTGATATAGAAGACATCCTTTGAATAAATACACTAGAAAAATATTTCTCACATTCATTTTCACTTTAACATTAGTGCAACTGACTTAAAATTCACAAGAATGTTATCCAGGGGAGAAGAAAATCAGAAGTTTATTAAGAATACTAAAATAAGGACTTAGAAGGACAATTTATCATTTTGTTGAAGGCACAGACTTCTCAGGAAGCGCTTCTCCCTCTGGTTTGGCAGTATTAAATTACATTGTTGGAAAAACACAGTTGGATGGGTGACTTAAGCCAAGTCTGCACACACTAGGTGAAACCGTATCTATTGACTTACAAGCTGGATGCCTGTGTCAAAATGCAATCCTGTATTTTTGTAATAATAGCTAGCAGTCATGGTTATAAATTATTTACAGAGAGTATTCAGTGCAAACAGGTTAGTGCACACATCCTCTTCAGCTTGACTGCCCTGGTTTTAGATCACGCAGACATTCAACTCCTCAGAGATCTGCTCTTATCACTGCAAACCCTAAAAGGGGGCCCCAACTGCAGTCAGTTCAGCTACTCAAAGCCACCTGGCCACTTGCTTGCTAAAGCTCTACCTCAAGGTTCAGTGAGTGAACATGGTCCCTCTGCCCCTCTCTCTCACACCCATCTGGCCTTGGCGATGTAAGGTAATATCAGACATGAAGGCGGATCGATCTCCAGAGCAGAGGCATGGCCATGCTCCGCTATCTTTGTGCAGAAACATAGAAGAATGTGCACAGCAAAGGCCACTGGTGATCTTAACGCAAGCTGACATTTCACTAATGCCATATTTCAGAGGCTGGGAACGAGCTGGCTCTCCAGCAAAGCCCTCAGTTTACATTTAAATAAGTGTGGGCCCTATTGCCATACGGGGGCATGGATTTCCTTTTCTGCACTGGACTATTTCAGCCATGACCATTTTCATTTGTTCTCAGTGATCGATGTAGGCAGGTGGACCTCTCCGCAGTGCCACATAGATGGCCAGAAAGGTTACAGCATCTTTTACGTTTTAAGAATTAAAGCCACAAGGGAAAGCAAACTCTGTTAATATTTCAAGAAGGCTACCCTGCCTCCCCATCAAACAGGCAATTAATGAGATATGGCCCTTAGATGTCCCAGGTCAGATAATGATACATTTCATCATATCTTTTGTTCTTTAAAATGAAAAGATATTACAGACTTTCCACTACCTAATACTAAAAAACTATTTTTATCATAAGAGATCACAGTTTTTGTTTATGAATGAAGAATAGGAAGTGGGTTAAGCTATGTGTTCACCAATTTATAAGGAGAATGAAGGAAATGCTAGCACAACCACCAGAGCTAAACTTGGAAACATGATGGGCACTACAAGATGGAAAGAGAAAAGAAAACTCTGTGTGTTATAGAATCTGCTTTCTTTTGGATTGGACATCAATGGTTTATCTTCCAAATGGTTTTGCAGAGTGTAGAAAGCAGTTGATAATAACATATGCATATGTCAGAGATATTGTGGATTTGGTTTTAGACCACTGCTTAGAGCAAATATCTCAAGAAAGTGAGCCACATGATTTTTTGGTTTTCCAGTGTGTATAAAAATTATGTTTATACCGGGCGTAGTGGCTCATGCCTGTAATCTTAGTGCTTAGGGAGGCCGAGGTGGGTGGATCACGAGGTCAGGAGATCAAGACCATCCTGGCCAAAATGTGAAACCTCGTCCCTCCTAAAATACAAAAAAGCAGTTGGGCGTGGTGGCACAAACCTGTATTCCCAGCTACTTGGGAGGCTGGGGCAGGGGAATTGCTTGACCCTGGAGGCGGAGGTTGCAGTGAGCCAAGATTGTGACACTGCACTCCAGCCTGGCGACAGAGTGAGACTCCATCTCAAAAAAAATTGTTTACACTATAATGTCATCTATTAAGTGTGCAATGGCTTTATTTCTAAATAACGATGTACATACCTTAATTTAAAAATACGTTATTGCTAAAAAATGCTAACAATCATCTGAACTGTCAGCAAGTTGTAATTCTTTTGCTGCTGAAGGGACTTGCGTATTAATGGCTGATGAATGATCAGCATGGTAGTTGCCGAAGGTTGGGATAGCTATGGCAATTTCTTAAAAGAAGACAACATTGAGGTTTGCCACGTGAATTGGCTCGAATTTTTATGAAATTTTTCTCTGTAGCATGTGATGCTGTTTGATGGCATTTTACTCACAGAAGAACTTTTGAAATTGGATTCAGTCTCCTCAAACTCTGCCACTGCTTTACCAACTAAGTATATGTAATATTCTAAATCCTTTGTTGTCACTTCAACACTGTTTACAGCATGTTTACCAGGAGTAGATTCCATCTTAAAGAATCCACTTTCTCTGCTCATTCATAAGAAGCAACTCCTCATGCATTCAAGTTTTATCAGGAGAATCAGCAACTCAGTCACATCTTCAGGGTCCATTTCTAATTCTAATTCTCTTGCTATTTCTACTACATTTGCAGTTGCTTTCTTCACTGAAGTTGTGAGCCCCTCAAAGTCATCCATGAAGATTGGAGGCCACTTTTTCCAAAGTCCTGTTAATGTTGCTATTTTGATTTTCTCCCATGAATCATGAGTTTTCTTCATGGAATCTAGAATAGTGAATACTTTCCAGAGGGTTTTCAATTACTTTGCCCAAAAATCCATCAGAGGAATTAGTATCTATGGTAGATAGCCTTAAAAAATGCATCAAATAAGACCTGAAGGTTGAAATGACTCCTTGATACATGAACTGCAGAATAGATATTGTGTTAGGAGGTATGAAAATAACATTAATCTTCTTATATATCTCCATCATCGCTCTTGGATAAATGTGCATTGTGAATTAGCAGTAATATTTTGAAAGATTTCTTTTTCTCTGAGTTTTGGGTCTTAACAGTGGGCTTAAAATATTCAATAAGCCATGCCATAAAAAGATGTACTGTCATCCAGACTTTTTGTTTTATTTATAGAGCACAGGCAGACTAGATTTAGCATAATTCTTAAGGGCTTTAAAATTTTCAGAATTTTAAATGAGCATTGGCTTTAATTTAAAGTCACCAGCTGCATTAGCCTCTAAGAAGAGAGTCAGCCTGTACTTTGAAGATTTAATGCCAGGCATTGACTTCTCCTCAGTAGCTATGAAAGTCCTAGACGCCATTTTCTTCCAAAAGAAGGCTGTTTTGTCTACATCAAAAATCTGTTGTTTAGTATAGCCATATTCATTAATGATCTTAGCTAGGTCTTCTGAATAACTTGGCGCAGCTTCTCCATCCAGTACTTTCTGCCTCACATAGTGCTTTTATGTTTTGGAGATGGCTTCTTTACTTAAACCTCATGAACCAAACTCTGCTAGCTTCAAACTTTTCTTCTGCAGCTCTCTCACCTCTTTTTGTCTTCATGGAATTGAAGAGAGTTAGGGCCTTGCTCTGGATTAGGCTTTGGATTAAAGGGGTGCTGGGTCTGATTTGATCTTCTAACTGGACCACTCAAACTTCCTCCATATCAGCAATAAGGCTATTTTGCTTTCTTATCATTTGTGTGTTTGCTGGAGTGTACTTTTAATTTCCTTCAACAAGCATTCCTTTGCATTAACAACTTGGTTTGCTGTTTAGAGCAAGAGGCTTAGCTATTTTGGCCTTTCTTGGCTTTCAACATGCCCTCCTCACTAAGCTTAGACATTTGTAGCTTTGATTTAAAGTAAAAGACATGCAACTCTTCTTTTCACTTGAGCACTTAGAGGCCACTGCGGTGTTATTAACTGGACCAATTTCAATATCGATGTGTCTCAGGGAATAGGAATGCTTGAGAAGAGGGAGAGAGATGGAGGAACAGCTGGTAGGTGGACCAGTAAGAATACACACAACATTTATTGATTAAATTATGGTCTTACACAGGCACAGTTTGTCACTCCTCAAAATGATAGCAATAATAACATCAAAGCTCACTGATTACAGATTACTATAACAGATATAATAATAATGAAAGTTTCAAATAATGCAAGAATTATCAAAACGTGACACATGGACACAATGTAAGCACATGCTTTTGGAAAAAATGGTGCTGAAAGACTTGCTCAACAAGGTTGCCACAACCTTCAATTTGTGAAACATATAATAAATGCAATAAAGTGCAATAAAATGAGATATGCCTGTATCTCTTTAAACCATTCATTTAACCAAATATTTAAAAGCCTGTATGACATTAGGCCATTTATTTAACCCCTCTGCACAGCAGTTTCTCCTTCTATAAAATAAGGGAAATAAAATTGTCCCTGTGCATCATTTTATTATAAGAACAAAAGGACATGACATAAAGGAAAGATTATTGTGGTAGGTTGAATGGTATCCTCATAAAAAGTATATCATGTCTTAACACTTGGAACCTGTGAATATAAACTTAATTTGAAAAAGAAAAAAAGAGATAATTCTAGATATAATTAAATTACATCTCTCTCTAGTTGGAGATTATCCGGGTGGTCCCTAAATCCAATGACAAGTGTCCTTCAAAAAGACAGAAGAGAAGACAGACACAGAGTAGAAGGCCATGTGAAGATGGTGGCAAAGACTGGAGTGATGAAGCCACAGGGAAGAAATGCCAGGGGCCACCAGAAGCTGCAAAAGGCAAGGAAGGATTCTTACCCAGAGCCCTCAAGGGGAACACTGCCCAGATACCACTTGAAATGTGGACTCTGCAAGAGAATACATTTCTGTTGTTTACTTGTTAACTAATTACTATCGCTCCTTACTTACTGGATGGAATGCTTCCAGTTTCTGTCAGTACAAAAGAAACCATTACTCCAGTTCTAACGGTAGTCACTAATAGAAGGGTGGTGGTGGAGTCCAGGATCCAGAAAGTAAAAGACAGATGAGAATTGCAGGGAAGGTTTGGCAAGGCCAATAAAAAGCAGGCAGTGGCCAAGTTGGGAAGAGATGCAGTATAAGAAAGGATTCAATGGGAGGTAACAGTAAGAGCCAGAAAGGAGAGAGAGCTTGGGAAACCAGGAGGAGGCTCGAGCCTACCCTATCCTAGTCTCAAGCTTAGGAAGTGACAGTAAATATTTATCAAATCAAATATGATTTACCTTGATAATCTTCTTTACATATTTCAAAGGCAAGTTGAAATGATTAATTTCCTTGTGTTTACAAAATGCTTGAGACAGAAGAGTTCTGAAGAGCAGAAAACAGACTACATTTTAAATGCTTTAAAAACAAATGATAGGTAAATAATGTTTTCACCATGGGAAGGACGTTGTTTATCAGTTAGTTGCATTAAGTGTTCCAAGTCAAGTGTCACATATACAATTTGATGGTGATGTATGCTAAGTGAAGAAAATCAAACTATAGCTTACTAAGATTTTTTTTATTTTTAACAACTAGGTATATTTTTAATGCAAGTGATATTTATCTTTACAAATGAACTATTTCTTTTGGAAAGGTTTTATCCTAAAGACAACTGTTGACGTTTGTTGAAAATTTAAAAACCTTCTATCATAGTTATGTGGTTACATAGCACGACTGGGTCAATAAGCTTCTAGGCTACGTCCTCCCTTCAAGCTTCATTTAATCTAGGAAGTATTATAGTATAGGAATATAATGCCAGACTTAGAGCAATGTTATCACTTCTATGTGTAGTTTATTGAGTGCATGCTATGAACTGAGCATTGGGTTAATTTGGAGAGGCCAAAAAATGAAAATGTAGTTAAGATGGGTTCATGTTCTTAAAGTGTTCAAAGTCCAGTTGGAGATAAGGCTGGACTATATAGATAATATACTATTATATAAGATAAGCAAAAATGAATAATATACAGTTATGAAAGTGTAGCTTTCATAATAGGGGCATAAAATGGTGAAACAAGAGCACCCCAGTACACATCAAATAAGGATGTCTATTAGTATCCATCTGAGAAGAGGTTGCCTGTATTTCTACTGAATGGCAGATCTGCATTTTAGAAAACATCAAAGGGAGAAATATTGTATTTTTATGGCAAAGTGCCAATATATGACTATTTACTTATTTACCTGTTTTCATACCATCATAGGCTACATGAGGGAAATGTTAGTAAAGGATACAAAGTTTCAGTTAGACAGGAGTCAGGAGTTATAGGGATGTATTGTATAGCATGGTGACTATGAGTTAATCATTTCACAATGTATACATACATCAAATCATCACATTGTACACTTTTAATAAGTACAATTTTTGACAATCACACCTTAATAAAACAGGGGGGAAAAGAAAAAAAGAGAAGGCAAGGCTACACTGATAAATTTAGGGTGCAGAAAGTGAAAATGGTTGATTGGAAATGTACAGTGGCTCAGTAGGACATTGAAAATGTAGACGAGGAACTTAGCCTCACAGGAAAAAGGGATAGTGTTTATGGGGGTGGGGTGAGGGAGGATTATAGATAATAAAACAGCATGAGCAAAGCACAGAATTGGGAGCAGGTGTGGTGTGGATCTACATAGGCCCAGAGCTCTTACCTAAGTGGCTAAGAGAACATATCCTAGTTGGTCAATGTGTATCTTATCTTTACTGATCTGGCAATAAAAGTCATAGTACATTGGAAAAGAAGAAAGAGCCTGGAGGTAGATAGCATGACATTGCATCTTACTAGTAGTAGAACCCCATCTGAGTTGCTTAAACCTCACCATGCCTCAATTTTCTCATGTGTAAAAATTGAAGATCAAAAAAATACTTCCCTTACAGGGTCATTCTGAGGAAGATAAGTTGGTCAATGTGAAGTTCTTATAACAGTGCTTGATGTCAGAAGTGGCGATCCACCATCCCCGCTCAGCATCCCTGTATGTTCTTGCTGGAAATGCTAAGAATAAAAGGCTCTGATTTTTCTTTATCCTGGATGTTTTCAGGGTTGTGTTTATAGCTAGCAACTTTAAGAGATGAGGTAATGTCTCTTGGGACAAAGTGCACACTTGGTTACTGGCTGCTATAAAATTGTAGGTTCCCTGCTCCTGGATGACTCTGGATAAATAATGAAATGAAGGCAGAAACAAAGATGTTCTTTGAAACCAATGAGAATGAAGACACAATGTACCAGAATCTCTGGGACACATTTAAAGAAGTGTCTAGAGGGAAATTTATAGCACAAATGCCCACCTGAGAAGCGAGGAAAGATCTAAAATCAACACTCTAATGTTACAAGTAAAAGAACTAGAGGAGCGAGATCAAACAAACTCAAAAGCAAACAGAAGACAAGAAATAAGTAAGATCAGAGCAGAACTGGAGGAGACAGACACAAAAAACCCTTCAAAAAATCAATAAATCCAGGCGCTTGTTTTTTGAAAAGATCAACAAAATAGATAGATCACTAGTCTAACTAATAAAAGAAAAGAGAGAGAAGAATCAAATAGATGCAATAAAAAATGATAAAAGGGATATCGCCACTGATCCCACAGAAATACAAACTACCATCAGAGATTACTACAAACACCTCTATGCACATAAACCAGTAAATCATGAAGAAACAGATAAATTCCCTCCCAAGACTAAACCAGGAAGAAGTTGAATCACTGAATAAACAATAACAAAGTCTGAAGTTCAGGAAGTAATTAATAGCCTACCAATCAAAAAAAGTCCAGGACCAGACAGGTTCACAGCCGAATTCTACAAGAGGTACAAAGAGGAAGCTAGTACCATTCCTTTTGAAACTATTCTAAACAGTACAAAAACAGGGATTCCTCTCTAACTCATTTTGTAAGATTAACATCATCCTGATGCCAAAACCTGGCAGAGACACAACTAAAGAAAATTTCAGACCGACATTCATGATGAACACTGATGCGAAAACCTTCAATCAAATACTGGCAAACCAAATCCAACATTACATCAAAAAGCTTATCCATTACGATCAAGTCGGCTTCATCCCTGGAGTGCAAGGCTGGTTCAGCAAAAGCAAATCTATAAACATAATCCATCACATAAACAGAACCAAAGACAGAAACCCCAAGATTATCTCAACAGATGCAGAGAAGGCCTTCGACAAAATTCAACAGCCCTTTATGCTAAAAACTCTCAATAAACTGGGTATCAAAGAAACATATCTCAAAATGATAAAAGCAATTTATGACAAACCCACGCCAATATCATACAGAATGGACAAAAACTGGAAGCATTCCTTTTGAAAACTGGCA